AAAAAATAAAGATATTGTTTTTGGAAAGTTGATACGCATCCCCATACGTTGGTTACATTTTCAAAAGAATGAAGTAAAACTTTACACTGTAGCTACCAAACTCCAAACAATTACACATTTGGAACACGCCAAACAAGAAATTAATTCGTGGAGAATTAAGCCACAGCTTAATTGTTAACTCCGAAATGTTCACGTAATTATGTGAAGTGTTTTGGTTTATATGATAATTAATAAAATCAAGGGTTTAATTGTTTAATTTACTATTTCTATTATAAAGAGAAACCACCTTGGAAAAATAAGAGAATGAGAACAAGGGAGAAAGCTTTATTGTTTGCGTATGTAAAGTACAATTAATATACTCTCTATTCATAAAGAATAATGTATATAACCTAAGTTTTATAAAGAAAGGTTAAAAGATAATTTGGCCCCTATATTATAAGTTCAGAAACATTTATAATTTTAAATTTATTTTTATACAATGTTTAAAAACGATATAATGTAACTCTTATCATTAACAGAAGTAAACTATAATCATTACTTGACCAAAAAGTAATATAAAATAATCAAAAAAGTTAAAGAAAGGAGCTAAAAATTACAAAAAATGATTCAAGAAATTACAAAAAAATGACCTAGTTAAGTTTTATTGGTCTTTTTTTTATAATTTTTTAGATCCTTTACTATTATTTTCTGAATAATTAATAATTAAAATTAACTTTTTTTAACGGTAAGGATTACACTACAACATTTTCAAAAGTTATGAAAAATGTTGTATAAAAATGGAGTTTAAGTCTCAGACACTCTTAAACCTATAATTTAAGGGTCAAATTATTATTAAATCCTATAAAGAATATACAAATTAAAAATCAGAATAAATCTTTAGCGTTTCTTCAATTCTTATTTACTATTTTCAGCTAATATATATAATAATCAATTTAGCAAAACTTGGAATTATATCTCTCAGGGATTAACTAGTGGATTCTCAAAGGGATCGTTCATTAGAGTTTGTCATAGCAAGATTGGGTTCAGCGGATCCACCTTATCCTCTTATTTATTAAGTTATTGATTTTGCCTAAAAATAGAAAGTAAAGGATAAATTTTCCCTGGCCGAAAAAAATCTTGTGCTTAGAAAATATAGATTAATTTTTGAAAATTTGAGAGCATAATCGGTTTACATTGATATACGAGAGATTTATTATTGATATATAAGAAATTTATCATTTAAAATTTGAAAATTTATAAGGGGTGATTATTTATCATTGATATACAATGATATATCTTGACAAATATAATAGACTAGCTATAATGCAAAATATAACAAATTTTGGGCTAATTGCTTGATTTAATACTATAACATGGACTATATCCGTAAAAGCCCCTAAAATAAACTGCTAATTGTATTCTTATTTAAATAAAAAACATTTACATTTTTCTCTTTATTAGTTAATGAGTTTAAATAGGGTAATACAAAAAAAACATAATTAATACTCCATCAAGTGCCTTACATTAAAAATCAAAAAATCTATCTAAGAAAGCATTTTTTAATAAGAACAAGAAGAAATATCTATTATATCTCCATCACCATTACTTGAAATAATTATATTTATAAACTATATTGGTGCACATGTATAAGCATTAAAAATATTATTTAGAAAATGACCAAGTAATATGTATCCATGTTATGAATATAAAAATTATAAAATAGGCATTCATATTATAGATGTGTTATATCTCATAATTATTTTTTTAAATTTTTATGTTGTAAATTATTATTCCCTCCATTTAAAAATATAAGATATTTTTAATTGAATCTCACCCCTTGATAAAGTAATTATTTGTCTTTAAATTAACATTATCTTTTTATATTTATCTCTATATAATAGGATATTTCACTCTAAAATAAATATAAAGTAATTATTCAATAAGGGTACTTTAAAAAAAGGCAATGATTACATTTAAAAATATTAAAAATATCTTGTATTTTTAAATATTTAATTTTTTAAAAATATTTTATATTTTTAAATGAATGGAGTATATATCAATTAATCTTCACTCATTATTGTTTATTATTTTAAATAATTTTTTATTTATATTTTTAGTATTGTCAATTCTTTCTTTCTTTTTCACTTAAAATAGTACAATCTACTGAATCATGATTTAACTATGGTTCGACGATTGATCAACACCAGCTATTGATTGCTGGTGGCTAACCACCATTGCCAATATTTGTCAATCAATATTAGTCATCATATTCTTTGTCTACCAACCACTACCGAGAGTCACTATTGTGAGCTATTTTAGTCATTGCCAATGTACTCTCTTCGGTCCTATATAAAAGATATTTTTAAAAAAATTTATTTTATGTTTAAATATAAAGGATGACATGATATTTTGAATAATGAAATGATTTTATCCTTATGTTAGAAAATAAAATAGATTATTAATTATATATTTTTCCTACTACTATCATGATATTAATTATGATATTGTTAAGGATAAAACTCAAAAATCATTGTGTTTTTATGTGAGTTCAACTAAATAATAAATATTTATTAATATGTAAGATTCTGTTAAAAATATCTCATATATAGGGATGGGGGGAGTAATTACCATTGATGATTACCATGACCCACCTAGATCAACATAAAATTCTCAATCATTATGTAAAATACCTTCTAAAAATCTTATTTGGTTTAAAATATAAGACATTTTATTATTTTTATATTTATTTTTTAATTATATTCTTACTTCATTTATTACTTTTTTAAAAAATTATATATTAGAATTGTAATTCTTATTATCAAGACTCTTATATAAATATATAATAAAAATATAAATGAAGGGATGTGAATGTTTTAAAAATTTAAAATTTTAACTAACATGATTCATAAACTTTAAATTAATTAGTCAACTATATATGACTTATTTTGTCATTTTAGTGAGAGTATTAATCATGGCTAACAACTCCCACCACCGAAATCTGGTCCCATCAAAGCCCTTGGACGTATCAGTCAACTGATAGGGGTGACTGATAAGAAATGATGGCAAGAAGTGGCCAATGGTGGTCAATGGTAGTGAATGACAACAATGGCATGGGGCAATGAAGGCGCAATGGCCAATAATGATTAATACATTAAATTAGTGCGAAACTAATAATAAAATTTCTTTAAATTATATAAATAATAATTTAATTTTTTAAAATGTTATAATTTTACTAAAAATTTTAAAAATTTTGTTTTCATTAATAAATTTATATTAATAACCAAATTGCCCTTAATAAAAATAAAATAATCATAAGCTTTGTTTAAATAATCATAATTTTTATTTTTCTATTTGCAATAATGCAACCAAAAATCACAAATTGAAATGTGAAATTCCTGATATTGTTACAAGTGTTGAAAATAATAAGTAATGATAATAAGTTTTATGGAAAAAACACAACTTTTTTTCTTACATTAGCAATAATGTAATAGCAAATCACAATTTCGTATGGCAAGTCCCTGATATTACTATAAGTGTTGAAAACAACAAGTAATGATCATAAGTTTTGTCTAAATAATTACAACTTTGTTTTTTATATTCACAATAATACAATAGCAAATTACAAATTTGCTGTCAGGTTCCTGATATTGCTACAAGAAATTTATATAAATTTATTAATGATAAAAAAGCTTTTAGGAATTTTAATTAAATTATAACATTTTGAGAGATTAAATTATTATTTATATAATTCAGAAGAATTTTATTGTCATTTTTTCAAATGTATTTTGAAATGAATATAATCAAACATATATTTTTCTCTTATTTTATTTTAAAAACAAACTTTTAAAAATTAATTTATAAAATAATTTTTAAAATTTAAAAACAGTAACAACAAGCCTTAATACTTTTAATGGTTAGTTGGATCCCCCCCCCCCCCCCCCCCCCGATACGTCCAAGAGCTTTGAAACTTTGACCATTACCAATACCTATCTTACTTTTATCACATTTGAGCTAACCTAAAGCACTACGGTTTTGGGTGAATGACAGCATAAACGCAAAAGTTCAAAATAATGACATTTAAATTCCAACAAAATTCTCTGAAAAACACTCCCCTAATTTTATTTATAAGTCAGGGAGAGTATTTATTTTGATCATATTTATAAAACACCTTAATAATTATTATATTTATTTTTACCATTTTACTTCTATTAAATATATGAGAAGCTCATTAAATACTAGATTATTTCATTTTAAAGTAAGTATATTTAATAGAGAGAAAGTTAAAAACTTATTAATTTTTTAGACAAAGTTAATAAAGTTTAAAGTTTTCATTGGTTTGATGAAAATACTAAAAGTGACTTATAAATAAGATTTGAGGAAGTAAATTACAAATATCAATTTAGAAAATTATAAATATAAATCGAATTACAATTTGAGAGTTATATTTAAAATTTAAATATCTTATTTAAAATTAAACTTTTTAAATTTATAATTATTTATATCGATATTTGTGTGTTAGGTTTTTAAAAAAAATTATCTGAACTTAACTATAATTAATCTAGTCTCTTATAATTTGCCCCTCTCTTTCTCTTTCCACCTTTGTGTATGCAAAAGCACCTATACTTTCAAAAGAATATTGCAAAAGGTTTAAACAAGCTAGCCTACTCCAAATGATTATGCATAATTATATAAAGTGATTGTTAATTGATTTATATTTATTAAAAACATTGGTTAAAAATCTTAACTTTCTAAAAATTTTCATATCTTTTCAATCATACCATTAAATGTAATAAATATGATATTTAACTTATTCAAAACAATATCATTAATTACTTAATAAAATAAGGGTGTAATTAAAAAAATATAACTAACATTTGATATTCTATATTTTGGGTTAAGTAAACCTTATAAAAAATGAATTATCTTGTAATGGGATGGCAGCTGGGAGTGTATGTGTATGGTGGATATATAACCCAGCAAACCAGTAGACAGAGAAACTGGTGAAGACTCTGCAAGTTTTGAGTAAGAGAGAAATAGAGAAGGCTATGGATTTGGGTAGTGATGTAGAGAAGAAGATTAAGTTTGACCCTAAAATGGAAACGCCACAAGAATATGCTTTATACTGCAACTGGGTTTCCTTCAAGATCTTCTTCCATAAAGACCCCAAAGCCCTCATCCAGACCTTCGATCTCGCCGGAAATACTGCCATCCACGTCTCCACCCGGTCCGACGACCCCGACCTCATCCGACAACTCCTCGACATGCTTCCTGACGACGGGGATCGCCGGCAAGCGCTGAGGATGGGGAATGCTCACAACAACACGCTTCTTCATCAGGTCATTTTCTGCAACAATCTAAAGATGGTCGAAACCGTGCTCAACTCCGAGATGGACAAGAAGCTAAAGAAGACTAATGATGATGAAGATGATCTATTGGAGCTGCTGAACGACCTCGGTGAAACGCCGCTGTATAGGGCCGCCAAGTGCGGACGGCTGAGGATGTTGAAGCACATGGCCGGATTAGTGGATGATATGAAGAAGCATTTTCACAGGCGACAGCCAAAACTAGACATCACTTCCATTCTTCACATCGCTATAATTGGCCAACATTTTGGTATGAGCTTTTGTTTATGCTCCCTGTAGGATCTTAGGTAAGACAACATAAAAGTTAGGTCGATTACTAAAAAAAATAAAATAAAATGTAATTGATTAAAAAAATAAAAGTAAAAATAAGATGATAAAAAAGAATAGTGAATTACGCTCATAAAAAAAGGGGGCAATTTAATTCATAGTGTTGAGAATCATGATTCATAAAATTTTTAGAGAGTGATAATTCTCACGTTTATAATTTATATTAATGAGTTTTATCATGCTTACCATAAGGGAAATGATGATTTAGTTCATTTTTATATTATTTTTTTAATATATTTCATTCCATTCCTTTCTACTAACCAAACATGAAGTTATATTTTGGAGAATAGCTTACCATACTCAAATCTGAGGTGTATTTTTTAAAAAATTCATGAAAAAATAAATTAAAAAATAAATGAGGGTTGAGATTTTTTTAACCCATATGAAAATGAGTTGAACCCCACCTAACACACATTTCTTGAACCCATATAACCTAGATTGGCTCATATTTCTAATTCTCCTCGTCTGTAGTATAATGCTACAGTTATCTCTAACATTCAACCTTTTAATTATATTTTCCCTTTCTTTTAACATCAGATTCTACTAAAACGAGAGATATTCTGATATTTCAAGGTGAAAACTGCATGTTTTTAGGATATTTTCTTTAAAAAATTATAAAAATAAAAAGCTGCACCAGTTGATCATGGTGAAAATATCAGAAGTGTCTAATTTTGTGTAAGATCTAATGATGAGTGAGGGTGCAGATGTGGCAGTTTGGCTGTCGAAAAAGGAAGGGATAGAGAAAGTAGCGTTCGAGAACGATGGGAACAAATTGACGTGTCTTCAATTGCTTTCCAGAATGCCTTCTGTTTTCCAGAGCTATAATTCCCAGTCTGGTTTCATCCACAGCCTCATTTATGCTTGTACGTATATATATTCTTTAGATTCTTTTAATTTTGTAGTTATTTTATTAATATGTAATTTGGATGTACAGTTCTTCCAGACAAAGGTTATGATGATGAAGATGAAGATAATGGATTTATGAGAGGGAAGGGAGATTTAGAAACTGGAAAAAACAAGCTCAAGAAACAAATCTCATTACGTTCTGGTACGTACATATACCTCGCTACTCATCAACAACTTCTTCATATTGAATGCTATTATATATTGCAGTTTTCTCAAGGATTTGCTACACTCTCTGGAAAATTATCGCCAAAGGTCAGAATCTTCGCTTCCTCATAAATAATAATATAATGATCATTTATCTTGTTCCTGCTATGTAATTAGTAAATTATTATTTATAAAATCATACCCGAGGTCCTTAAATGTCAAAACAAATTTAAAAAAATACCTTTTTATATAATCTGCCGGTAATACAGTTCACTTATATAAATTTTGAAGCTGAGGTGTAAATTAAATACTAATAAATTTATTTATTATAAGTTTTGGAAGATGAATTTAAAATTATACTAATTAAAAACTCATTCTTCAGATATATGTGATCTCAACTCAAATTATAACCAAGCATGATGTGAAATTTATAATTCAATTTCTAATCACATGATTTTTTTACAATTTACTTACGAGATGATAATCAATTATTATTTAGTATTTACATCTTGTTTCACAAGATTTTAAACGACCAAACAGTATTTGGGCCCCTAAAAAAATCAGCAGCATTGTCAATTGATTAAGGACATTTTCGCCGATCTATATATCAGCATCTTATTTTCTTCCTTGTGGCAAAAAAAACCTATGACTCGTGTCATTACTCATTAATAACTTCCAAACGAGGAGCCTAATTGTCATTTCTCCTCAATTCTTAGTGGGGGAAAAGAAGAAGATCAAGGCCTCAAGTGAATTAAGGTTGAAGGACTTGGTCCTTGTTTGTTAAATAACATACTTTTGAAAATATATTTACAGAATGGGATATTGTGAAAGAAATCTGGGAGAGGAAGAAGAAACACAGGTTGGCAGAGTTACTAGCGGACTTCTTAGTAAGCCAGGACAACTCATGGATGGAAACAAAACATGGAGAACCTCCAAACGAGGTTGTCCTGTCAGTGATTCAACCCTCCAATGTCACCGCCACGAAGAAATTAGCCATGCTCGAAAAGACCCACTCGCTCGAGAAACCCATCCCTTGCAAGGATTACACGCCATTGCTGCTAGCAGCGAGCACAGGTATCGTGGAGATCGTCAAGAGGATCATCGAGCTTCATCCAGACGCCATCTCTCACATTAGCCAACACGACGAGCAGAACGTGCTTCACGTCGCCGTCAAGCATCGTCAGAAATAGATCTATAAGCTGTTCAAGAAATATGGAGCTCTCAGATGGTTGGGTTGTCAGATGGCAAATCAAGGTCAGACTCTATTGCACCAGGTTGCGGGGATGGATTATTATGATGGAGGCAATCAGCTTGGTGTTGTGTTTCAACTTCAGGACGAGCTACGTTGGTTCGAAGTAAGTATATATTGCTAATTATTACTGTTTAGTTGTTGGAAAGAAATATATCAAAATAAAATGGCCGGGTTGATAAAACTTAGAATGAATTAAAATAAAATCATGCATGTATTGAGTGAGAGACTAGAGTCATTCAATGATAGAGAGATGAGAAAATAATGATGAATAGATAGATATCGAGAATGGGAATTGGTCACCTTATTCATATCACATTTGTGGGAAAATGGCTTTCTAAACCATTTCAAAATTTCTTTTGGAACCGGTTTAGATAAGGGCGGTTAAGACAGTTTCTCAAGACCGGTTCTGCAACTGGTTTGGAAAAGATTTTTTTAAACCAGTTTAGAAAGTGCACCATAAAATGTAAAAGAAAAATAAAATGACTTTTACAACTAGTGATGGGGCACAAATTGGTTTAGAAAGTCCCCACTTTCTAAATCGATTAAGGTCCACATTAGTTTAGAATGATAAAAAAATATTTCCACCAAAAATTTTATAAATGTTTCAACACCAATCTCCAGGCTAACCAATCTAAAAAAGAGAAAATAATTAATTAAAAAAATGAAAAAGCTTCTTACAACAGAAAGTACTTTCTAGATAGTTACTCTTACTAGTTATTTACAAATATACTACTCTTCTACTTTCTATACCGTCCACCCAAATATTTTATAAACATGTGTGTGTCCATGTGTGATGATAGAATGTAGCTAGGATGCATTGCACATTTTTGACCCAAAATTATAAGACATTGTCCATGTTGGATTTATAATTTTAATTTTAATTTTTTTACATAATATATTCCCTAGTTTAGATTTGACCATGCTGCTAGACATTTCCTTTCCACTATTATTGAATATTTAAGAATTTTATAGAAACAAAAATTAATGTGTAGTTGCGACAATGACTTCGAGATTCTAAGAATGTAACATAAACCAGAAAGCTAACTTTTGTTTTGCAGTTTTTTAGGCTAACTATCATTGAATATGCATATGCAGCGAGTGAAGAGAATAGTACCTTCTCCTTACCAGTTATATTGCAACGGACAATTACTTAACAGTAAGAGAGCTTTTTGATTTAGAGCATTTAGAAATGCTAAAGGAAGCCCAAGAATGGATCAAGGGGACAGCTCAATCCTGCTCCGCCGTGTTAGTCCTTCTCGCCACCATGGTTTTCGCTGCGGCCTACACTGTCCCAGGCGGCACCGACGACAATGGTGTCCCCGTCCTTCTCGACTCTCCACTCTTCCTCTTCTTCACTATCATGGACGTCGTAGGGCTCGCAAGCTCTCTAATCTCAGTGATGATGTTCCTCTCAATCCTTACATCGCCGTTTCAGATGCAAGAGTTCTATAAATCTCTGCCTAGAAAACTCACAATAGGCTTCACGTTATTGTTCATATCGTTGACCACCACGTTGCTGGCTTTCGGGTCAACCATTTTGCTAATGATTAGGATGGAGAACAAGAGATGGAGTTAAAGTTTGATTTGCAGTGCCACGTTCTTCCCTGTGACTCTGTTCGGGTTGACTCAATTTCCAATCATCATGGCCGTCAAGTATAGAATGAAGAGACTAAAGAAGACTATTAAGAAGATGATTCCGAACGATATCATTACCACCATATCCACCAAACCCAAGAAGAAAAGAGTTTATTCAAAATATGCATGAGCATCGATCAAAGGCTCAATTTTGATCTCTAATGCAAGAACATGGTGCTCTAAGGAGAGAGATTGGATGACTGATCAACCTTTGTGTTTTTCTCTGTCTCTACAACATCATACCAACAGTATGGTTCGAAGCATTAATTAGATGTTCAAGTTATTGCATGTTCCTTTAATTTCCATATCCTTGTTTAAGTTGGAGGTGTACTTAAAGTTGCTTTGGGTTTGATTAATTGGTGCAGTTTGTTGCACAAAATCTACTGTATCTATGTATTTTTTTTTTGTATATAACTTGTGCATATATGGTATCATTTCCACGTTGTTTGATGATTATATTTTTCTAATAAAGTGGATTATTTTTGTGTAAATAAATGCCTAAATAATACTCATTCTTGATAATCATATTTCATGTGTTTGTATATTATGTATTGGATACAATTATTTGTTGTGTATTAATACACGAAATCGTTTGTGTATTTGTTTTAATTTCATATTTTATATTGATTGGGAATGAATAAGATGAAAATATTAAGATAGATGTGTGAAAAGATAAATTCCATAATGCTCATATGTGAAAAAAAGTGAACATGGTATCTATTGAGAAGAAAATAATAATCCAAAATCATTTAACATGATTTGGATATTACAAAAAAAGTTGTGAGAGGTTCTTATAAAAAAAGTGAAATAGATAGTTTTGAGTCTGAAAAGAGGGGGTAGAGAAGACAAAAAAAAAAGACGTTTATAAAAATTGTTGAACAATATCTCTTGATTAACAATATTATTTCCAAAGATTTAGTTGCTAATAGAGTATATGTATAAATATCTTGTGCAATTCATGTAATTGACTTCACCTAATAAAATAAGGCTTGTTTTTATTGTATCATTGATTGGGATTAAATGGCGACAAGGGCACGCTGTTACCCTAAGAATAATAGAAACACATCCGGCCATCCTTCCAAATTATCAGAAGATATAATTGGCTTTCTTTAGTGTCTTAATTTAACACAACTTTCATTAAAAAATGAAAAACATTTTTAATCAAATTATACTTGTAATAAATTCAAGTTTTAAAATTTTGATAGTTAAGATGTAGTGTTTTTCTATTATTTTTATCCATTTAATTGAAGTTACTGATATTGTAAATAGTTTCTCGCAACCAATTTTATTGCCATATACATCAAGTTGGATGTACCACGTTCTGAAGGCAACGATGCTAATTAGTTGGATTTTCTTTTTTGCGAGACTAGGGGTGCCCAGCGAATCACTTGACATTTGCATGAATTAATCATAGGAAAAATGGAAAAACAAAAAATATCCCTCAAATATATAAATGACAATTAAATATTATGCAATATGATAATTATTATTTAATTCTTGAAAACTTGTCTGACACTTTGATTTTTAATAAAATGACATATTTTTCTCTAGTAATTATTATGCGTTAGGTGAGAGTTTGTTTTCTCTCCTCGGTGAGAGTAAGGTGAGTTCGTCTTCTCCTTTGTGTGTTGACGATGACACCCACTGTGTCATTGAGAAATTGTTGAGTGTGAAATTTCTCTCCCTCTTGCGAGTGTGTGAGAGCGGCCGGGTGTGTGAGTGTGAGGTCTTCTGTGTGCGTGTATTGCTTGGCTTTTTTTTTTTTTTTCCCCGGAAGCATGGAGGAAGGACAGAGTAACAGGAGGAAGAAAAATAGTAGAGTAATAGTTTTAGAGTTGGAGAAAAAGAAAAAAGAATGGCCTAGAGGATCTCTGGTTGGCAGACTGGAGACCGATAAGAACCTGAATAAAAAGTTGGTTATTTCAATGATTAAGAAAGGGTGGGGCGTTGATGAGGAGGTTGAAGTCCATGATCTACATATTAAGAATGCATTCATTTTTTCAGTTTGAGAAGGAGGTGGATTATAGTACAGTTGTTAGAGGCAGACCTTGGTATATTCAATATGGTTTTTAATGAGGTGGATTTCTCCAAATGCCCATACTGGGTGCAATTTCATGGATTGACACAAGGAGCTTTTGATCACGGTAATGCTATGCGTCTTGGTGAGGCCGTCGGAGAGGTGATGTTGTTTGAGAATCCCATGGTGGAGGGAAGAATGAAGAGATCTTTTATTAGAATTAGAGTCTTGATTGATATTGCAAAACCCTTGATCATTGTTTCTGGGTACCTCAGCCAAATAGGAAGCCAGTCTGGGTGAATGTTCGATATGAACGCTTGCACAATTTGTGTTATCAATGTGGCCAAATTAGACACGATGCAAAGAGCTGTCATGATCTAGGAAGTGATATGGATGAGGATGATAATGAGGAGGAACGGGGTAGTTGGCTTGGTGTTACCCACGTTAGGACTTTAGATGAAGTCGTGGAAGCTTGCAAGGTGGATTTGGTTGAAGCAAAGGCCTTTCGTGACTCACGATCTCAGAACACCGGAGAATGACGGAATGGTGACCAGAAAAATTCTTGCTCTGACCTTGGCAACAGAAAAGACAAAGGTGATAATCGGGGATTTGTCATGATTTTTAGATGTGAGAGGAGTTATGGACAATGTGGTTATAGACGAAATAATGACAGGATTGAGGAGAATATTGTGGGTGATTCTCGTATTGCCAATAATTATGAGAATCCCGTCAAGATACCCTCTTCTCCTTTGGACGCTAAAAACGTAAAATTTGTGGACAATATCACTGCTGGGCCTAGCACTCTGCAGGCCCAATCTTTGACAATTGTTGGTGATAAGAATAGTTGACCATTTGAAGTGGGCTCTAAAATTTGTACGGAGTACACTGTGGAGTTTCCCAGTGAAGAGGAAGACAATAGAAAAGCTCTAATTCCTATTATGGGCCTATCCTCTATGTCAAAAGTAATTTTTGGACTTAATAAAATAGTGTTGAAGTGCCCTTTACCTGAAGAAGACAATCCTAAAAATACGAAACGGAGAAAATTATTCCGTGAGACAGAAAATGCAAGCATGACAGATGAAGCTCAGGCCACCTTAGTTTCTCCTCTGATTCGAAAAAATTGTAGGATTATTAAAAAGGAAATTAGAAGTCACAAGGGTAAGGATGCTACTCCTCGGCCAAGAGATGTTGTTAATGGAGTTTTCTCAAGTGCTGAAGAGGTATGTTTCCTGCCTGGATGGTTTGTCTTTAGGAGCTCGAAAAAATATGAGGTTGATGGTGAAGCTTTTAATGCTGATAGTAGGGATGATCCCGCCACTGGTTCATCATGAAAATCTTATCTTGGAACTATCAGGGGTTAGAGGTTCCCCTGGCGGTAAAAAATCTCAAGGATGAATGCGGGAAAAATAACCCCCAAATTATCTTTCTGATAGAGACAAAAAAAAAAGGAGATATGTTAGTAAGATTAGGAGGAGGTGTGGGTATGATGAAGAATGGGTTGTTAAGCCAAAGGGTAGAAGTAGTAGACTTGCTTTGTGGTGGAGGCATGATCTTGTTATTAATATTCTGTCTTTATCTTCGAACATAATTCATACAAGTATCTCTTCTATCTCATTTGATACCCCCTAGAATGTTTCCTTTATTTATGGTCCCCTGATGAAAAAGAAAGGTGGCAGATATGGGATCCCTTGGTTAGTATGGCTGCTGCTGTTCAGGGGGCTTGGCTCTGTCTAGGCGAGTTTTGATATTATCTCGCACAAAGAAAAAGAAGGAGTAAGGCCTAGAGCGGTCAGGAAAATCTTAACTTCCAAAAGTATATTGCTAATTACTGTTTGATGGATCTGGGGTATAATGGTTCATAGTTTACTTGGTGTAATGGTAGGCAAGGTGATGTCACTATCAAGGAGAGAATTGATCGTGCATTTAGGAATGTGACTCTGTGTGAAGCCTTTCCTAAAACTCAAGTGTTTAATATTGACCCTATGGGGTTGGATCATCACCTCCTCTTGATGGATCTATGCTACAGTGGGGGTAAATATGCTAAATCCTTTACATTTAAAGCTTTATGGACTCTTTACCCTGAATTCTTATAGGTGGTGCAAAGGAGTTGGGCATACTCATAAGAGCAGGTTGAAAATAATTCTTTAGATATATTTGTTGCTAATCTGAACCACTGTAGGTGACATCTTGTTAAGTGGAGTGAACAGACTTTTCTTAATAGTAAGAAACGTATTTTTCAACTTAAAATGCAATTGGCTGCTTGTAAACAGGGAGTTCTTACTGTAGATTCTGTTAAATTGGCCGATGAAATCACCACATAAATTGAGCAGATGATGGATAGGGAAGAATCTTACTGGTGGGAATGGTCTAGGGTCTCATGGTTACAGGCAGGAGATAAAGACACCACTTTCTTCCATTTATCTACTATCATGAGGTGTCAGAGGAACTAAATTCTATGAATTCGGGATGACAATGGCCATTGGCTAAGTACAAACTTGGAGGTTGCCAATTCGTTCTTTGCTTTCTACAATCAGCTGTTTACTGCATCTCCCCCAAGGTAATTTGATGAAGTACTTAGTTTTCTGGATCGGTGTACCAGTGACTCTATTAATAAACAACTTATGGTTCTAGTTATAAAGGCTGACGTGCATAATGCTGTCTTTAGCTTGAGGGCCACTAAAGCACCGGGTCTTGACAGTTTCTCAGGTAAATTTTATCAATCTACATGGAATGAAGTGGGCAATAGTATTTTCTTGCTTGTGAAGAATTTTTTTGATGGCAACATTAATGTCACTGACATCAATGATACAAATATTACACTCATTCCCAAGACTGATAAACCTGATTACGTCTATCATTTTAGACCTATCAGACTTTGCAACTTTTCCTATAAAGTTATATCCAAAATTCTTGCCAATTGAAAA